GTAGATTAAAACCACAGGAAGCCACAACAATCCGACTGCAAACCTATTGCTGTTACTGAAAAACTCATGCCATTCATACTTGACATCCTTGAGATCCAGCATCAGTTGTGATGGCTTGATCATGGGTTTAATCTGAAGAAAATAACTGAAAATAAATTTCGTGGCCAGTACCAAAATCCAGAACAAACTGTACTTGATATTGTCAACAAGTCCTTCCCTCAGACCGCGGCCCACAAAACTCCTACTCTGGAACCACCATGATAACAAGTAAAAGATTCTCCAATTGGTATTCTCGAGAAAATTCCTGACCCATGGAATTATAAACAGAACAATTGCCAGTAACTCAGGTAACACGAAAACTCCAGCCACCTCAAGGAAAGTCACAACCCTCGTATTTGCTTCACCAGACCATCGCCTATCCTTGTTTCTTTGGCTCCAAATCCTTCCATAGAATACCCCAAACACAATAATCCACCCAGCAGCTACAACACTTTTCGACACCATTCTAACCCCATACCACATAGTCTCCCTCGAGACCAGTCTATACTGCAACACGATATCAAGTAGTGACTGTAAGAACCTCAAACCAGCCCAAGTAAAGAAAATGGTCAACACCCGAACCTGAACATCCCTACTCTCCAATGCGTGCCATGGATAGTCCTTCTGTTCCCACGCCACAATAATCGCAGCCTGAAGGAACAAGATCATCATCACAAATAACCTGTCAAAGCTTCGGAACAAGTTCAAAAACGACCGCTGCTCTACAAACCCAGTCTTGCCCACATGCTTTTGCTTACTCGAGATCACAAAGAAGTTACTTCCCAAATCAATTGGCCACTTCAACTTCTCAAAGCACCTCCTGCTCCAAAAGTACTCATTGATATCATCATAATTCCTCCAGGATGTGTGAGGCGCCGTCCCATTCTTACTGTTCTCCACCTCCGCACTCACCGTTTCATAAATCGGCTTCACAACAGAGTTCAGAAAGGCATTCTCCCCAGAGAAAGACGGCATCACAGGCTGCCCAGTATTCTCATCGATATAGTCCTCAAGAATCTTGTTCAATTCCATAGCCATGTTGTGAAAGATGAAACAGATGCACTCCGGCATAAACCGTAAATTGGCCGACTCGCCCCAAATCAGAAGGTAGAGAGAAACATACAAGAGCTCCCGCCGGACGTCCGGGTTTGACCGATCCGAGATCCAGATGTTGGACTTCTTGTTCAGGTAAGAGCACCAGCTGGTGTAGTTCTTCAGCAACTTCCGTCGGAAGCGCCGCAAAACCCCGGGGTCGAGAGTGTCGATGTTGTCCGGCGGCGGAGTGAGACGCATCTGCGCGTTGGCCAGGTGCAGCACCAGATGCTCCCTCTGGTTCCGGACGTTGTCCCGCTGGAAGCCGAAGAAGAGGGCCAGCCAGTCCAGCAGGTCCATGGAAGGTTGCCATTGAACATAGGGAGGGCGCCGGAGGTTCCCAACGGCACGAAGCGCCGCAGCAGCGGCACGGACCTCGGGGTAGCGCAGGGAAGGATGGTCAGCTAGGAGGTTATGGACTGGAATGATGTTGAAAGGCTCTTCATCTTCAGGAGTCTGACTGTGCCGCGGCCGGCCCGGCGGAGGAGCACGGTAGCGGATAGCGGCCATGGCATCTGAAGACGACGGAGGCGGCCGGGGATAGTTCTAAAAGTCTTCCGGATCAGCTCAGCGGTTTCGGTCCGGCAGTGAGAGATAGAGATAGAGAGAGAGGGGGAGAGAGGGAAAGGGAAAGGGGGATTTGCGTGGAAAAGCTTATGGAGTGAAGTAATTGCAGAGCCGAAATTGGAAAAAGAAAAAAAGAAAGTGAAAAGGGGAAATTCGGATTTTGATTTTTTGAGGGATTCCGGCGGGCGCGTTCGCGAATGCGTGTTTTTTTATTTTTTCTTCTTTTTTTTTCTCAAGCTTTTCGGGTTTTATTTACTTCGACATCCTCTAATTATTAAGTAATTATTATTCATGTAAAATAGAAATAAATAAATAAAAACCCTCTCCTCTAATTACTATCATTGCTTTTTTTGGCTGAACTTTCGTTTCCTGTTTTTTGGCTACAAACATGGTAAATTGAATTGGTAATGGCTTATCTGGACTGACATGGACATTTTCTTCTCGGCGAAGTCTTGGTGGAAAATAGGGCATTACTATTGTGTCCATTTGTAGTATAAGATTGATAAATTCTATAGCCCTCTGTTTTTATATGGAGGGAAACACAAATTCTCAAAAACTTATCTTTGTTTCCAAAACCATCTACAGTATCAAAGGGATAGAAAATGGAAGGTAATGACATGTGGAAAGTGCTCTCACAATTGGGGGAAATGGTTGAGTTGTGCATTTTTTTATCTTTATTTTTCTTCTTCTCTCAAACTAAAAAAATGGAAGAACATGAATTTAATTTGTATTTTTCTCCACTAATGAGTTGTGTGTATAAGAAAGGTTGATAGTTATAAGAATTTTCTATATTGTTACATTAATTCATCTACATGTTATCCAACCTTCTCAATTAATTGTTAAACATATACCTTTTGGTCGCTGATTTTCTTAATTTTATTTGTATGTTCCCTTTTCTAATGCTTTCTTCTTTGTACATCCAATTTATTTAACCTTCTTATGATGCATTTGGATATAATACAACATATTAGTAAATTTGTTAAAAATATTAGCTAAACTTTTAAAAATATAAACTAGTAGTAAAATTTTTGGCGTCATAAACTGTTATGTGGGGAGTAAAAAGTGTATTACCTCCCACACAAGTGTGATGGTCCAACTATGTACAATGTTTTTATGCTGTCTTTTACCGATTTTGTGATCGGTACTAGTTAAATCCAGTTGCATACCATTGGCATAACAATTTTTTCCAAGTGATCTATTTTTTTATTTCTAATAATGAACAAAATTAACAAGAAAGAATAAATTTGATCCACAATTCACAATTAATGTAAATAGTTTCAACACATAATTAAATTATTTTACTATTCTACTAAAAAAAATATTTATCACACTTTCCAATATTTTTTCTCTCTCACTTTTTCCTTCACTTTCCTTCATAAAAAAACATTTTCCCTCCCTTTCAATTTTTCCTTCCCTCATTTTCCTTCCTTCAGAAACAAAGAGTAGACGTCAAAAAGGGTTTCAATTGCATGAAAAATGTTGACATTTGTTAACTCATAAAAAATGTTATATGAATGCACTAAGTATGAGAAAAAAATTATAAGTGATAAAGACCCTTTGAAGCAAACATACACAAAGTTGTCAAAAAAGCAAACATACACTAACCTCGTCATGCTCGTAGGGTTCGTGTTTTGGTGACTCAAGAAGGAGACGAACACTATAGGAACCAACCCAAGACCATAAAAAATATGGTCACAACCACAACAAGCTCAAGTTTCCTCTAGGAAATTAAGGAGATTCATCTACCACTATAACAGATATTCATGTCTTCGAAAAGTGTGGTGCTTATAATATTCACATTCATAAGAATAGCTAAAATTCGGTACGACATTTGAATTTCATACTTCCTGATAAGAGGGTTGTCTGGCTTTGACATTGTGTATGCAATGTTTAATGGCAATATGTTGGTATAAATAAATGATGAAGACATGTGGTGATGTGATTCCCGCCGCTGGGAACAAACCCGGCCTCGAAGGCCCATTTCCCCCGACCAGGACAACAAAATACCCGACCGGATATTTAGACCGGGTTTCGGGTCTAGCCGAGTTTGGCCTTCATTTTAGGTTTAGGTTTAGGTTTTTGTTCCTTTTTGGATTTTTGGTTATTATATTTGCCCTGAGATATAAAAAGGGTTGTAAACACGAATTTTAAGTTAGGTTTTGATGAATAATAATTTTACACTGATGTGTGTTTTCCCCATAGAGCGCGAGTGTTCATGGTTTATTGTTTTAGCTATCGGTGGATTCCATAGTTAGGGCAAGATCCTTGTTTGATTTTTGCTATCGAGGATTCTAGAAGAGCTTGGCAAGACTCTTATCAATCAAGCGATCACACTTGATTGTAGCGAGTATCTACCTCACGTTTCCTTTACTTTTCGAGTTGTTAAGAGAAAATTCAGAAAACCCTAAAAAGATCGAAGTTGCGTGACTTTGACAGAAGAACCTAAGCTTTCACAAGCTCGGATTCTTATCAAGTGGTATCAGAGCTCTGGTTCAAATTAGTGGACAGGAGAAGAAAATTACAAGCTTTCTGCAAGCTCCGACAATGGCATAAGGGTTAGGGTAAGATAATATGTTCTATACTCGTTGTTTGATTAAAGAGAAGTTGAGTTCTGTGCTAGTAGATGGAGGGATTGAATCAAATTTGATCGGCACCAGAACAATGGAGAGATTGGGGCTACCAACGCATTTCCATCTCATTCCATATACTCTGCAACTTCCTGGAGAAAAGATTCCAAGCTTCGTCTTCACACAGGTTCTTGTAAAAATCTCCATTGGATGCTACGAAGACGAGGTCTTGTGTGACGTGGTGTACAGGCTTGCAAATCACCTTGTGTTGGGACAAACCTGATTCCAAGATCGTGGAGTTCATCTAGTCAGTCCAAAAGCTTCCGAATGATGCATCAAAAGAAGGTATTCATTTTGAAGCCTTTATCCTCGGAGGAAGTTGCTGATGATTTGAAGACTTTACAACGATTACGGCAGGAGTATGAAGAAGAGAAGATAGCCAAATACTCGCAATATCCACGGCAAGCACATGAAAATCAGCTAGCACACAAGAGGTTGGAGAAGGAAGGACGCAACCACAAGGATTTGATAGAGACCCGCTCGGCGAGTAAGGGCAGGTTGGTTTAAGCCATGTGGGCCGGGTTTGAGTGGCAGTTTTTTTAATTCTTGTTAGTTTCCTGAAACTGATAAAATAGGGTTCAGTACGTTCATTTGAGATTAAGCAATAAGAATATCAAAATCCCTAATTCCTTCTATTCTCTGTTCTTCCCCAATTCTTTCTCAATCCCTAATTCTTCTTCTCAATTCCCAATCCCATTCTCTTCTATAATTTGGTATCAGAGCCAACATGAGCTCCTCGTGGCTCTCTGATCCAGTTTGAAACCGTATGATGCAACGACTCGATGCCATGTGCTGACCAGGCCGCGACGACACGCGAACACGACAGGGAGGTGGAGGCGGCGTGCGGGCCGGCAGGGCTACCCGAGGCGCGGACCAGGCGGGCGATGGTGGAGGCGCCGCGTTTCGTGGTGGCTTCCAACGAGACAACGACGACGTAGGAGGGCGGAGGGCGAGGCACGGCGCTCGGCGCGACATCGATCGTCTGAGGGGTCACGCCGGCGTCTGGATGGCGCAGCGACGAGGCGAGGGGTGTGGCAGAGGTGGGCAGGGACCGCGGACTACCCCGGGCAGCTTCGACTGTGTCGCTCCATTCGGTGGCCACCCTGCCTACACCGGGAACTCTCCGTTTCCGTGCAAAGGTAGCGAGCACCACAGCGGTGACCTTGGTGGACATTGGAGCGACCCTTAACTTTATCAGTGTGGATCCCGTCGTGGTCCGGGTCGCCAATGGAGCACCTATGCAATTCCAGTCAGTCTATCGGGGGCTCTCATTCAAGATTCAGGGGATGCCCGTCATCGCGGATATGTTTGTTCTGACTATTCGCGGGTTTGACATGATTTTAGTGTTCCATGGTTGCAGGGGTTGTGACCAGTCACCACTGATTGGCGGAGTTTGACCATGAGGTTCAAATGGCGGGATAAGGAGTGGTGTTTACAAGGGCTGACTACGGTTTTGGGTCCCATTTCCCTCCACGAGTGCATCGTTGAGGGCGAGGCCGAGTTGGCTGTGTTGTGTTGGCCCGCGGTGACAACCGAAGGGCAGGAGGTAGCCCCTGATCTTCAGCGAGTGCTGGAGGGGTTCCCAGAGCTCTTCCAGATGCCTACCACTTTGCCTCCACACAGACAGGTTGATCACCGCATTCAGCTCAAGGACGGAGTGGAAGCTGTGAATGTCTGTCCATATCGTTACGGCCACTTGCACAAGGACGAGATCGAGCATCAGGTGGAGGAGATGCTCGAGACCAGTCTGATATGCCCTAGCACTAGTCCTTTTTCCTCGCCGGTGCTTCTGGTCAAGAAAAAGGACGGGACTTGGCAATTCTGCACGGACTACAGGGCACTCAATGTCACGAAGGTGAAGGATCGATTCCCGATCCCGACAAAGGATGATATGCTCGACGAGCTCCACGGCTCAACATACTTCACTAAGCTCGATCTGCGAGCAAGATACCATTAGATTCGGATGCAGGAGGAGGATGTGCACAAGACTGCCTTCCGGACTCATAATGGCCATTATGAGTACTTGGTCATGCCATTCGGCTTGTGCAATGCTTCCTCGACCTTTCAGGCGGTGATGAATGACATTTTCAGACCACTAATGCGACGGTATGTGCTGGTATTTTTTGATGACATTCTAGTCTACAGTCCATCGTGGGAGATGCATTTGCAGCATTTGCAGGCAGTCTTTGATATTCTACAGTGCCATCAGTACTATCTCAAAGCTTCAAAGTGTGCATTTGGGGTGCAGAAAGTTGAGTACTTGGGCCACATTGTCAAACCATAGGGGGTCCAGGTGGATCATTCGAAGATCCAGGCTATGGTCGAGTGGCCAACCCCGACCACTGTCACGGAGTTGAGAGGTTTCCTGGGCTTGACAGGTTACTACCGGAAGTTTGTGCAGGGATACAGTATGATCGCCAAGCCCTTGACTAACCTATTGAAGAAGGGCGGGTTTGCATGGACACCGGAAGCGGATACGTCATTTCAGCAGCTGATGCATGCCATGACCACCACCCCGACTCTAGCCATGCCGGATTTCTCACGGACCTTTGTGATTGAGGCGGATGCTTCTAGCCGAGGTATTGGGGCGGTGCTATCCCAGGACCGTCACTCGGTGGCCTTTATGAGCAAGACCTTGGCTCCCTCCAAGGAGGCTTGGTTTACTTACCAGAAGGAGATGCATAATATCATCACAGTAGTGCAGATGTGGCGACCGTATCTTCTGGGCCAGAAGTTCCACATTTACACCGACCATCAGAGTATGAGGAACCTCTTGGAGTAGCGAGTTTCCACTTCCGATCAGCATAAGTGGGTCTCGAAGCTCCTTGGCTATGATTATGAGATCCATTATTGGCCAGGTCCCTCCAACGTCGTGGAAGATGGGCTTTCGCGGCGTCCTAGGGGTGAGATACTGGCAGCAGTAATGGGGCCCGTGCCCCAGTTTTGGGACGCGCTCCGGGCCCTTACGGAGACAGATGCCTACCTGTGGGGTTGTCGGGATACAACAGTCAGTGAAGCTCCGGGCCATTATTCCTTCCGGCAGGGGTCGGTGTTCTTCCAGGGGTGCCTTGTCCTTCCGCAGAGATCTTCACTAGTGACGACCGTGATGCAGGAGTATCATGACTCTCCATTTGGAGGGCATTAAGGGGTCGAGAGGACACTGCGGCGGATCCGGGCGCAGTTTTATTGGCCCAAGATGGGGTAGGACGTGAAGGATTATGTCACGTCATGCGATACTTGTTAGCGGGTTAAGGCATCTCATCTTCGACCGGAGGGTCTGTTGCAGCCTTTGCCGGTACCCGAGCGGGTGTGGGAGGACATCAGTATGGACTTCATCGTCGTCCTTCCCCCGTCGGGAAGAAAGACAATCATGTTCGTCGTCGTTGATCGACTGACGAAGTATGCCCATTTCATGGCCTTGGAGCACCCGTATACGGCCCCCTCAGTAGCAGAGCAGTTTGTGATGGGGGTCGTGCGCCATCACGGGTTTCCGAGGTCTATTGTCAATGACCGTGATTCTGTTTTCTTGAGCCGCTTCTGGCAGGAGGTGTTCGCTATGGCTCAGACCACGTTGCGGATGAGTTCCGCCTATCACCCACAGACGGACGACCAGACGGAGGTGGTCAACCGATACCTGGAGCAGTACCTGCGCTGTTTTGCTCATCAGCAGTCAAGGCGGTGGCTGGCTCTGTTGCCATGGGCCGAGCTATGGTATAACTCTACTTACCATAAGGCGATACAAACGACACCGTTTGAGGCCCTGTATGGGAGACCACCACCTTCCTTGGTCCGCTACCGGCATGGCACCAGCCCGGTTGACGCGGTGGATCGTTGGCTCGAGACACAGGATGAGGCCTTGGAGCAACTCAAGGCCAATCTGGTGGCTGCCAACAATAAGATGAAGCAGATGGTCGATGCAGGAAGACGTGAGGAGGAGTTCGAGCTGGGGGACTGGGTTCTGCTTCGTCTTCATCCTTACCGGCAGGCTTTCGTCTTTCGTCGTGCTTACCAGAAGTTGGCGGCTCGTTACTTCGGACCCTATGAGATACTACAGAAGATTAACCCGGTAGCATATCATCTGCAATTGCCAGCCGGTGCACGCATCCATCCCACTTTCCATGTGTCGCTACTGAAGCGGTACAGAGGAGCGACTGATCGAGTGGAGACGACCGCCCCACCGGGTTCCGCCGATGGGGATCTTCAGCTAACCCCCTTGTAGGTCTTGGATACCAGGTGGGTGAAGAAAGGCGGGCGCATGACTGGGGAGAGCTTGGTTCTGTGGCTGCACATGGCGAGAGAGGATGCCACTTGGGAAGAGACGGCCACGATCCGACAGCGTTTCCCGACATTCGACCTTGAGGGCAAGGTCGTTTCTGATGTGGAAGGGGATGATAGAGACCCGCTCGGCGGGTAAAGGCGGGTTGGGTTCGGCCATGTGGGCCGGGTTTGAGTGGCAGTTTTGTTAATTCTTGTTAGTTTTCTGAAACTGATAAAATATGGTTCAGTACGTTCATTTGAGATTAAGCAATAAGAATATCAAAACCCCTAATCCCTTATGTTCTCTGTTCTTCCCCAATTCTTTCTCAATCCCTAATTCTTCTTCTCAATTCCCAATTCCATTCTCTTCTATCAGGATTGCATGACATGGATCCACCTCTGTACGTGTCCCTATATATTGCTATAAGTTATAAGGGAAAGAGATTTATATGCATGCACTAATATATTTGAGGGTGGGAACATGGTAACGTGGATAAAATGCAAGGAATGGGCATGATCTAGGTGGCATGGAAATTGTGAGGAAGCTAAGTGGTTGACCTAGAAAATGGACACGTAGAGGAATGCAGCTCATGAAGAAATGGGAGAAATGCATTGCATTAGTGATTTATTAATCTAAAAGGGGATTTCAGTGGTTAATCATCCTAATTGCAAACTGAATAACATTTGTCGTGGGTTGTTTGAAGGTTAGTACTATCAGCTAAGAATTCTGCCAGGAGGCACAAATAAGTTCAAAGGAGGAGGATGGTTAATTCGAGTCAGTCTAATTTGAGTATTAAGGTGAGTTTAAAGGGGTAAAATCTGTATCAAAGTCCTTTAGATTATGTCTTTTATTTCAAGTTATATTCGTTATTTTTCGATTTATGCGCAGTTACTAATCCTAGGTATCCCACCGCCTACTGAAGGTGGAGGCACGCGTTGTGCTTATGTGTGTTGATGAATGTGTGTGTTGATATACGAATGATGGTATTAAAGTAAGGGAACCCCCCGCGGTTGGATCACTACTGGACGCGGTATTTGATCGGATCACTGCTAGACGGCGAGACGTAACGCATCAGTTGTTCGTGTATTTTTGGGCACTACTGAACGGCTAGAAGTAATGTTGTAGTTTACCAGACATGATGCTCTACGGCGAGATGTAACATTGTACCATTGCTTTTGAGGTAGGGACATCGGACGACGAGACGTAATGAGGTGATCCCTAGTAGTAATATGTGTATGAGTTAATGGTAGGAGTAGAGAACTCCTATAAGTTAATTAAAGAATGGATTATAAAGGGTGAAAGTGAAAACGACTTTCATGCGAGGAGGGGAAATTTCTAATAACGTTTAATGTTAAGGAAATGTTTAAGGCAAGGACCTTATGTATTAGTGACGACGAGACTAACCCCTTATCACTCACCAGGTTGGGGAAGGGTTAGCGGATGTGGATTTTGAGAAGAGACATAGCGTGTCGGCAGCCATACCAGCATTGATTATGAGTATATACTGGAGGTTCAAAGGTTAAGTTTTATTAACTGTGGTTTGAGGTCGCCCAAGTGTTTAGGGTATTTCATTTGAATTTCTTTTGAAAACGTTTCGGTTGTATTTGTTTTATTGAAAATTTTGGCAATGTTTTAATCGACTCCGGAGCCATCAGTATATCAGGTTTTTTAAAAGGATCAGGGTGTTATAGCAAACACAAATTTGGATCAAGAAAACTACAGCAGGAGGCAATAGATTGCAGGGCAAGAAGACGATCTCATGGAGACAGCTAAGAGAAGGATGGACTCAATTCCAAACTGACGGGTCAGTTTACTCTACCACTGGCAAAGCAGCTGCAGGAGGACTACTTCGTGATCACCTTGGAAGATGCAACAAAGCCTTGTGTGCAACTTGGGTGCCTTCTTAATCACTTGTTCAGAGCTTAAAGTAGCAGTAGTGGGGCTCAAGATTGCGTGGGAAGAGGGTCACATGAAGGTTGAGCTGAACATTGATTCTAAAATTGCCATTGTCATCATCAAGAACTCTGAAGATGATGATCACATACATGGACATCTTGTTGCTACCTTGAAGCGCCTTTTGAACCTCGGGTGGGAGGTGAAAATTGCACATGTCTTTAGGGAATCAAACTTCGTGGCTGATTATTTTGCTAACGAGGGTCACTGTTTTTCTTTTGGTACTCATCCTTTTGATGCGTACAATGTCGGGCTTAGACACTGCTCTTTTATGATGCAATGGAGATTTCCCAATATCGGAATGTTTCATTAATGCAATAGGCGCTTTTTTTTTTTTGAAGGTAAGTTCATTAGATAATGACTGGGCTCAGCCCATGAAGGAAATGTACAAGCTACAATGCAATAGGAACAAAAGAAAGAACCAACCAACCAGGCCCAAAGACAAACCCAGAACCCAATAGGGCCCGAGCCCAGGACCAAAACATGAAGGCCCCTTCCCAAACCCTAACACACGAGCCCCCTCTGAATCCTCCAGCCGCCGCGGTCGGTGACCATCCCTGCACCAACCAAGCACCTCCCCCGACGGGGAACGCCACCATGAGCCAAGCACAGATCGACACCCACCGAACTCGACATGCGAGAAGAGGAGGAGAAGACCTCCGAACAACCCACCACGAGCCGAACGCCACATAACCTCCCGCCGTCAAACCGCAAGAGAACCAACACAGCGACCGGACGATCGACGGAGGAGACAGAGGGTTAGGATACATCTGTCCTCAAGCTCTCCCCACCGGATCCACGCCAATGGCTGCATCTCCGAATCGCCAAGATCTGCAAGGCAAAACAAGGAGGTAGACCAAAGGAGAGGAGAGGAGAAGACAAGCCGGATCTATCAGATCCAACCTCCATCGTATCTTGAACCGGAAAAACATCTCCACATCTGGAAACCAAATCGGAGGACAAAATCTTCAACCCATAAAAGGGGGCAAAGGACCTCTTCACAAGAAGAAGGAAACGGACCACAGAGGCAGCAAAGAAACCCGAAAAGGGAAGTGAAAGCAGAGACGAGAAATCGAAAAAAAAAACGGAAAGGAAACAACTCAATCCAAGAGAAAGAAAAGGAAGCAAAGATTACAAGAAACGAACTGGAAAACAGGAAAAACAGAAAACAAAGGAAAGTGGGTTACCGCCGGTCACCATAGGTGCCGGCGGCACCCTAACACAAATATCAACCTGCGGTGATTTAAGAGAGAAGGGAGAGGAAATAAAAGGTTGAGAGAGAAAGGAAACTTGTATGCAATAGGCGCTCCGGCGTCAATCTTTATACAAAAAAAGAAGAATTTATCCACCAATGTCATACGATCGTCTTCCCCCTTTTGTGCAAGATGCAATAAAAGTACTAAAAAGCCTCCTCCACCTCTTGAGGGATTGTGCCTGACTTTGCTTGTGTGGCAAATAATTCTCTCTCGCGATATGAAACACAACTTATATACACAATTAGTTTGGTGTCGGATCCATTGGTCGGAATGTCATTTGAATATACGTATTTACGATATACATTATAAAATTTTCAAAATATTTGAAATGTATATTTATACCCAATGGCTAATTTAATTGTTAAAATTAATTAAATAATGAAAATCGAAATATTAAACACCAAAGAAATACTTACAAAAGAGTAGTGGGCTAGTTAACCAAAGCAAAAAAGTCATATATTTTTAAGATTTTAGGTTACTATATGTTTTTAGTTTAAAAAGGTACATAAAATTTGTTCAGTATAAGTTGGTAATGGTTCATGTTCTTGTTTAAAAAGATCATGGTTCAAATAGCAGGAGTGATATATTATTTTCTATAAATAAGACAAATAAAAGACAAAATTACCCTTCTTATCTTCATTCTCATTAGAGAAAATTTAAAATGCTGAAAAACTATTCCCAACTCTAGTTAAAAAATGGGTTAATTTCTAACAAAAAAAAAGGGTTAATTAAAAATATATATATTCTGAATGTTGATACCAACTATTATCACACCATTAGAGTCGGTATTTTTAAAGGCGTGGCAAAGGTTAAATAATATATGTGTGCCTCGCAATAGGTTACACAATGTGTTTTTATTTTTATTTTATAAACATTGTGTTTTTGGAGTATGCAACAAAACGTATCCTCTGGCGACAAAGCAAGGGTTCAGTTAGCGGCACATAATTAATGTCAAATTTCCCAAGCAAAGAGGAGATGTTTTCCATGATCAGTGGCGGACCCAAAAATTTTCATAAGGGTGTCCTTTTTTAAAAAATAAATTAAATAAAAATAATTAATAAAAATAAAATTGTAAATATGAAAATACCTTACTCGTACAGGTTAAAAAAGTCATGATGTGTTTTCATATTCGAAAATAATTTTAGAATACACTTGGTGTCTATAGTGTTAAAAAAATTGTCTCTATATACACTACTAAACAATCATTCACGAACTTATCGTATATTCGATTTGTAAACTTGTTCTTGATGTAACTCAAAGCTGAAAGCCTCTTTCAACACTTGTCGTACAATCATAAAATCAATACAAATTAAGGGTAGTTTGAAATTAGTTTAATTGTTAGGTTTTTAAAATAATTAGAGATAGGGAATGCCATTTTACTATTACACATTGTTCAAATCGAACAACAAATGAGTGTAGCTCAACGGAAATTAAGTTTCTTAATAATAATAGTGTTCTAGATTTGAATTATCCAACCTACCACTTATATTCATATACACAAATGACAGTAGGATAATCATTTTTTCAAATTTAAGGGGTGTCCCTCACTATCAATTATATTTTTTTTTATACGTAAATTACCATCGAGGTTGGATAATCGTTTTCCCAAAATTTAGGGGTGTCCGGGGACACCCTAAACCACCCTGGGTCCGCCCCTGTCCATGATGCTTCCTAAGATGAATAATCGCATAAAACTGTTATCGTCAATAAATACAATATGTGGTATATGTCCAGCTGCAAGTTTTTTTAGTTTTTAGTACCTTTGCTTCTCACAACGTAAAACAAAGAAAGTCATACGTGACAAAGTCAGCTGTAGTAGTTATTGAAATACACGTCAATTAACCTTAGGTATGAGACATTTCATTTAGATAAGAAATGCATGTATTATTATTACTACTAAATAGAAGAGATTATATTAGTCCAATATGAAATTCATGTATCTGGGTAACCAAATTACATAAGTTTAAGAGTCAATTGATCAGTTAGTTCTTTCGTTCAAAAGTTTCTATGTTAAACCATTAATAACAAGGTCTACCGAAATCTAAAAGAGTAAATAGTTTGCATATATATATGATGAAAGCTAGGTTTGAAATAAATTGTAATTATAATTCCTGTTTATTTTTTACAAACTAAAATTATCGATTATTAATAAATAAAATTTAAAATTTAGGGGTTAGGAAATCAAGGATATAATATTGTCCGTGGCACGTGGGGTTGCACATCACACGATTAAGGAGACTAGACGACACCGCATTTCCTGTCCGCGTTCGTTTGAAGTCTTCTTTCTTCTCTTGTCTTGCGTTGGACAAATCTGCCGGCTTCTTCACAACAACCCACAAAGTCCTTTCTCAAAGGAACCAGTCTTCTTATATACTAAATACTAATGCTATTATTATGTATTAATTTACAGACCTCCTCCACTCTCTCTTCTCATTAGTCTTACCAAACATGATCAAGTACGTTTATTAGGCTAAATTTCTAATCAAATTAACGTGTACTTCCCCTTCTCCTTCGTTTACTTTCTCGACTGGCTGGGCCCCACATTCTATTGCCTTCTTCGGCCAGCCATACATTTCTGCCAAAATTAACTTTCTCCCATTGATGAGTACACCGACTATTATGGGTGAGTTTATGGTCTATTGTTGTTTTTGTTGCATAGGATAGAATACACCAATTGCCAAATTACATTTTAGTTATCAATTTTAGAAATTTAAACATTGGCATTTGGTTGATATAATGAGATAGTCAATAACTGAAACTACTCCATCCAATTTTACTCATAATTTATCCTTAAAATTGTTACTAATTTGTACTGAGTAGTTTTCCAGGAAATGCTAAACATACAAGACAATCATAAATAATTTTATCGTAATTTGTTTTTTTAATATTTATACAATTGTCTAATGTAAGTGTATCATTCAATTGATCCACTTATGAATGCGATTGATTGTTTTGCCCAAATCACGGTAATTTAAAAGTCACATAGACAATATAACATATCCTTTCAAGATCGGTTTATTATATGAAGAATATTGATAAAAAAATTCCAGCTATGACTTTGGCAAGTTCTTTACTCATCAAGCTATGACTTTGGCAAGTTCTTTACTCATCGACTTGACTTGATTTTAAATTATCCAATTTCTCTATTCCTGAAATATCTCTTTTAATCTCATTCATTAACCTTTTGATATCTCTTTCAAATCATCCAATTAGCTATTTTGCCACTAATCTGTCACCAAAGCGGAAAAATGAATTCGATTCAAAGTTCAAACCAAACAGGTTGGATACTGTCTAGGGAGGGCAATTGGTCCGGAACGGATATTCATAGTGCCTATTCATTACCCTACCCATAGCCGTTCGTGTTTTATCCATACCCATACACACATAAAAAACGGGTAGAAAATTCAAACCGTGTCCATATCCGTTCGGGTATCCATGTTTATCCATGAGCAATAGTTTCTCTTTATAACTCCAACCAATATGTTAATATTCACACGTATTCTCACATTATGTTAGACGAAAAATACAACAATAATTCACTAGAATGAAGAAAATTAATTAAAATAACACAATTTCATAAAAATATTATATTTATATGCTAAATAGAAAATATGTTAGAGAAAAATATTAATTTTTTTTAGACAAAATACATATGCATGTGTATAATCGGATGGGTTCATGTTGGATAGTGAGAAAACCATGCCCACACATTACCCATAATATTCGGGTTTAGGTTTTACCCTAGCTAATTAGGTCAGATTCGGGTGGATATCCACGGTACGGATATTTTTGTCGTTCCTAATCCTATCATTAAACCTCAAACTTTCCTTAACCTTTGGCTGGCCAATAGGAAGAGGAGAGAGAAGGGAGGAAGATAACTAACTTAAAAGGCAAATGTGGTAGTTTGCTTAATTATTTAATGTTATTATTAATAATATTTATTGTTGATAAAATGGGACAATTTCCAATTTCTTAAAATCCTGCCACTTCCCATTTTACAAGAGAGGTACTAATTAACGCCCTAGTTTTTTTTAAATTTGTTGCCCTAACTTGACAATTTGACGTTTTTGTCCCAAAAATGCCCAATCTCTTACTGATTTTCGTCCTAGAATTAACGCCCGTCGCCGCCGTCTGGGAGTGCTGCTGGGAGTCTTCGTCGTTGCCGACTGCTGGTGTCACCGTCGCGGCCGCAAATGCCTTCTGCTGTGCCCTCGAAATTAAAACTACCTACGCTCTCTATGACGACTTGTAATGACATTATTAACAGTTTATAATAGTATTACTAACAAATATGTAATGCACTTTTATTGATATATCCCATAATTATTAACAATTTCAATATACTTATTGATGCTTTACAAATACATTATTAACGGTTTTAGTTCAATTGGTAACAATTTATACTTTTTTTCATCTACGCTTATGAATGAATTATGAAAGTTATGTGACTTATGTCACATCGTCATTAACAATTTGAATGAAATTATCATTGATTTACAACATTGTTATTAATGATTCACATTTTCACATCATATTCATAACTAGCCAATCATGGCATTTTACAATGATTTTCAATGACATTATGAACATTTTGCGATCATTGATATCTCTTTACACTGTCGTTCTCAACGATCATAAAGCACAACACTTATTTGCAATATTTTCGACACTTGTGACATATTACACCTGTGATTCAGGCAAGCAAACATTAGTTCATGGAAGTGGAAAACATTAGTCTAGCAAACCAACATTCACAACCCAACACCAAACCTGTAATAATGATAAAATTAATCATTGATAACAAAACTTTATTTCATTGAAACCAAACACAAAAATATTAATAATATTAATATTCAATGTTAAGTATCAAATGCGTACCATCCAAATTCTTCACGTGAATATTGTATTCTATTCAAAATTAAAACTAAAACTAAAACATTAAAATGAAGTCCAACCGTTATAATGATATTGTAAATAATTAATAACGAGTTGTGTTTCATTGAAAATGGAAGCAAAATCATTAATAATGATGGGATT